AATCAAAACTTCTCATTTTACATAAGTAATCGTAATTCAGTTAATGATATGTAATGGTTAAGATAATCACGTCGGATCTTTTTTGTTGTTGATAATCTTCTTTCAGTATCTCTGTTGTTTGTTTGGTTAGTTTGTTTAATTTGTGGATTGTATTTGTCGCAGATTGATTAAATTTGGGGTGACATCGATGAGAAGAGGACATTAAAAAGCTTTTTCATACTAGTATTGAACTTCTTAGCAGTACTCAATCAATACAATGATCAGGAATTAAACTAAAGACTTTCAATTCTTGTAACAAAGGCTTCATTAATAAAACAATTTTGATAGCGTTCAGTGAAACTGTTTCACTTTTAATCGATTTGTGATATAGCTGAATAATGCTAGTGGTGAAAACTGTTTCATTCTAAGCATTTTTGAATTTCATTTGTCGTGACTTCACACAAGAACTCCAGGAACTCATTAGTGAAATGAATATGATAGTTCAGTTGAAGTAATTTTTATGAAAATTCGTTTTAATTTACAGGTTGTTTCATTCATAAATTAACTATACTGCTCAAACAGATGACTATCACGACTCAGTAGATAAGTGGACAACGCGATGACATTTGAAACGAACGATACTGGGTTCGAGTCCCGAAGTGAACATCAACTCTGAGTTGCAAGTACATCCAGCTGATGAGTCCCAAGTAGGATGAAACGTACGTCCTGGATTCTACTACTAGTCATTATCCATCATTGCTTAAATAAACTATACATTTATTAGAAGAGTTATTGTATATCAAATTTTCAAATTTTATGAGTGACAGGATAGAATATAAGTGTTTATTTTATTCATATACTTGATAGTTTGAGTCCATCAAATTATTAAATGAAGTCGCCAGTTGTTTTACAATTCTAATAGTAAAGGTAATTTATTCTAGGCCACCAATGATTGTAATTACTCTAAGTACTTCAAAAACAAACAAAAAAAAAACGGAAATGAATAATTATGTGGGTATATTATTTTATACTTAAACGAAAAGGATTTACATTTATCCACATTCAAGAAAACAAATTTATGTAGAAGATTTTTTATATGTTGGAGACTTAAGTGAAGTTAATGTTTAATATTCCTACTAATACAATTATCAGAAGGGGTTTTTGTGGATATTATTAGTAATTTCAATAGTTGAGATCATGAGTCAATTGAAACTAGATCAACATGGAAAACCTGAAAGCACTGGACAGCCGTTTCGTCATATTGTGGAACTCCTCAGCAGTGTGCATCTACGATGCCGCCTCGAGAGATTCGAACCCAAGACCTATCAGTCTCGCATATCAACACTTAACCACTAGACCACTGAACCGATCAGTCGGCATCCAACGGTGTTAATGTCTAACTTCAACTAATATACAAAACTGAGCAATACACCCACCACTGTCATCAGTGAGTTACTATTTCACAACAGACCCAGTTGAACTCTACTGGTTACTGCCTCTCATTAGGAATATTAAAATGACTAATTATAAATTTGTAAATATTGTAGCAATTTGTTGCTACTTAAAACCAAAATAAGTAGGCAAATGTAATTTTAAATATTTTGTCTGCTCACTAGCAGAAAATTGTCTGATAATTAGTAAATGTACCAGAAATTACTGAAATTCTGTTAGGCTGATGAATATACATATGATTGGTAACGCCCAAAGAAATTGATTCTATCTTATTTGATGGTCTAGACTTCAAAATGAGTTTGTCTCCAAGACTATCGGAAGCTCCTCATGTTTGTTACTAATGTGTAAAATCACTAACCCTACCAAGAGAAAGTTCCTCACAGTGACTATTAACAGATACCTATCTCTGTTGTAGCGAGATATAACTCTGGACGCTACCATTAAGTCATAGAAGCTTTAAAAAGTTATGATAAAACCTAAAATTGAGAAAAAAGTTCAAACAGCTCCCAGTGAATAAGGAGGTTATATCCAACTATTAAGGAGATGGTAGTGCACCATGCTCTTTCAAGATTTCGCGTTCATAGGAGTGTTATATAACACAAGGTGATCTTAATTTACTCGGACTTGATTGTTTTGATCGGTTTCACTCGTCTGATGTTCCATTAAATATTGTGTCCATCTTGTAAAACACCCTTGTGAATCCAGAGATCGTCCAACTGTCGAGAAAGAAACAGTCATAGCTAAGATTTGTCTAGTGGCGATGAAAAATATTCAAAAAGCATTGCTTGGTGACACTAACAAAGCAGAAAAACTATAGTTACAAATACACATCACCTTTCTAAACCCATAAAAAGGGTATCACCTTTCTGGTTCTGATTGATGAGTTTTCAAAATATTCATGAGTCTTAATCGTGTCCCCACCAAAAACAAAGCCTCCCAGATACTGATGGTGAATTTCTTTCAAAACGGAGTGTTAGACACTGTAGTGTCAGATAAAGGATCGAAAATTTTCCTCTAGAGATTTTTAAAAAGTTTTCTTACTGACAATTCATAACATACACCCTTTTACCATCTATAGCATCATTAATCGGATGGATAAACAAAACGGTTTGTGGACACCTTCAAAAGAACATTATTAAGATTAAAGGGAGAAGGGATGACTATCGATATATTGCACAATGTTCCCTTAGTGTATAAAGATACACCAAATAACGTACTACCATATCAGAAATCGCCAGAAGAATCTTTCATGGGTCACAGATTGAGAATAACTCAGCATTTGATGCTAAAAAAGACCCATACGTAAAAATGGTACCAGTGAAAGTCGGAGCTAATATGTTCGATTGAGATTAAGAATTGACGACAGCAGTGAATGGTTCAAAGTGGAAAGTAATCTTCAAATACAACTGATGAGAAAGGAAACCAATAACGATTAAGATGAATTTCTATTATTAAGTTTTTGATTGAGATCATGAATCGACTGATATTAGACCACCGTTGGAAACCTGGAAGTACTGGACGGCCGTTTCGTCCTAGTATGGGACTCCTCAAGAGTAGGCATCCACGATCCAGCTCGCGGGATTCGAACTCAGGGCCTTCAGTCTCGCGCGCGAACGCCTAGTAATCTCCACAACCCCAATACTGTTACATTAAATGATTCATTATGAATTCTGCTTATGAACTTTCAATGGATTTTTATTTTTGTTTATTGACAAATATTCAGCTCATGAATTATGATTATTGTAATGTAATATGTAATGATTAAATTAAATATATTTTCAGTGGGGTTGATATATTAGGGTTATCATCAGGAAGGTTTCAGGAGTTACACTAGTTAGCGGAGCAGGAAAAGAAGTAGTCTCGTTTACTGTATTGAAGTCGGAATTATGAACATTTTTGGGTAGGCCTCGTACATATCACTTTTCAAACTAGCTGGTTTCTTCCTTCATACTGATTTGTTTGAAATCGATACCTAGGTGAATTGTATCTAACAATTGTGAAATTCGTTGTTCTGCTTTTAGTACGAGTATATATAGTTACATATCTTGAGAAGTACAGCATATATGTGTTTGCATATTCATGTGTAACATTTTGTTTCTGTACGACTGAAATTGTGTCTACATATGTGAGAAAAACAGACCCGGACCATGACATTAACCATATTGTACTCCGTAGAGGAACTCGAGTGTTTTCAGTTTTTAGGTAAGCCTTATTGACAAGTTTAAACAAATGCTAATACTTAGTCTGGTAAGACGTACTATTAAATGTCAATGACAGTTTCACCTCTCTGTGATAATGGGGTGTGGCAAATTGAACCAATGTACATATGTACCAGATTCTATGTTGTGATTGACTGGTGTAATTTAAGTTAAAGAAAAATGAATGCACGCCATTGTGAACGAGTCAAAACCATGTCATTCAACCATTTATTTTGGTAATTACACAGATCCCAACCAAGCAATCTACGTCTAACTACACAACTCAGTTTGATATTTAGTGAATTAATGAACTGATGGCACGTCTTGGTGTAGTTAATCATAGTATTCTTCGAATCTACTCTTAAATCAGTGAGAAACGCCCGTCAAGGTAGGTGGTGATTGGGTATACATCATACATGTCCAAACCACAATTAATGAAAACTCATCACATAATCAATCGAATTGTCACCCTTACCTAGTGCTCTGTATCTGACCACATAATTACTTACTCGGTGACCCTAGCATACACAACCAATGCTTCAAAGCTACCTATGATTGAATACTAATAGTTTATGAATATTCTCAATGTTTAAAGTGTAGGTTTCACAGGCATAAAGCAAAACGGAATAAACTGTTGCGTATTATGACTGGTCGTTAATTGTTATGTCGGAATCGCTTATTACTTATACTTGTAAAACAAGAAACCACTGTAATTCCTACAACGTGAAGTAAGAACCCATTTACTTATAAACTGATTATACGCCCATTTTGACTATTAACTAGGATGAAATCACATACTGCGTATCATGCTGACCATGGTTCATGTTAATTTAATACAAGAATATTGCATCTTGAATAAACACATTACATCGAATAAAATATGACACTGGAAAATAAAACAAATATTCCTTTGAATAATCATCAAACGGAACTAATGTTAACCAAATATAACAACGAATCAACATCTGATTTTGACTTTTTTATCCTATTATATCTTGCAGCAACATGCCCGTACTTTAGTTGTCAAGTGTGATAATAAATTTCAATTAAATATTTTGATATGTTTTTACTAATTGAACGCTAGATTTGGTTCCTAAGCTCTTCTAGTAACCCCTAAGCTAGAACCATACAGCGATTTGAACAAGAGAGAAAAGGCGCGAAATATGTAGGAAACATTCCACTCCAAAGGTTCCTTCATGTACAGGTCTAGGGTTTTTATAGTATTTTACATGTCCTTGGGTTCACCGAAAATTCTGGAATACTACTCAACATAATAGCAGTATAAGTAATCATCCAATCACAAACTCTACATGTCACTTTTCACTTTCTTGCTGTTTCTGGCAAAATGTCTACTGAACACTGATTAGATAAGATGCTTCTCAGTGTTTTCAGACCCTTTCTTAGCTCTTTCTTGAGTTTTCTGAATCTGATCATTGAATTCATCAGTCCATCTAAGCCAGATCACTTTTAAAAAAAAACCCTGAAAGTACTGGATAGCCATTTTGTCCTAGTATGAAACTCGTCATCAGTGCTCATCCATAATCTCATATGCAGGATTAGAATCCAAGACCTTTGATTTCTCATACTAGAACAAAACGATCATCCAGTTGCTTCCCAGTTTTCCATGATAATCTAGCTTAGATTAACTCATGAATTTAACTATGAAAATCATTGCGAACACAGTTAGTCTATCCAATATCAATGAAAAAAAAAATGAGCACAATGTAATAGATCTTGATTTCATTCAAACAAAATGATAGAAACGAATATAGTGATATGTAACAGTTAATTGGTAAACACATATATATATATAATTCATAGAAAAAAGAAGAAACAATACACAGCCAGACAAGAACAAGTGAAATGCAAGGAAGAAAAAAAAAACAAAATGTATACACCATAAAATAAATAAGTAAACAAGAAAAAACAAACAAAAAAACAAACGAAATAGAACACAAATTACAAAACAAGAAAAAAAACACACGGAACAATAAATGAAAACACTTACGATATAAGAGATTCATGATGTTAACAATAATGATGATGTAATAGATAGAAAAGGATACTAAAGAAATAAAAATTAGTTGAATTATTCACAGCCATTTCAAAACAAAAACAAAAAAAAAGAAAACCCCCATAGTAACAATGAAATGCCCCCCCCCCCAAAAAAATTAAACTGTAGAGAGAGAAAAAAAAACGATGAAGAGAATATTTTTTTCTCTCTTTCATTTAAAATGTATATAATGTTTTACTATTATTTAATGAACGATAATCTCCTGAAGTAATCATATCATAACCATTCCAACCAGTTAAGAATACACGACTAGGCCATTGATGAGGTAATAATAATAATTCAATATTATAATTGAATAATTGTTTAAATTGATTAATAAAATTCAATGAATGATTCAATAAATATTCTATAGTAATACTACCAGATATAATTCTATTATAATTAGGATGTAATCTTGTTAAATAAATAGAATTATTTAAATTAATACAATTCTTTTCAATAGCTGGATTAAATCGACTATAACTAATTAATGGTACAATAGAAGTTTGTTCTTTATCATTATTTATTATAGATATAGAATTAAATTGTCTTAATGTAATAGGTGTTTGACATTGGGAACCACGTAGAAATAATGCTGCATTACTTATTACCTGTGTTTAAATAAACATGTGTATGTGTGTGTGTGCGTGTGCATGTGTGTGAAATGTAATGCGCAAGAAACAATAACAAATCAATTTGATAATATATAAAAAAGATAATTTATTTTAATTTAAATGAAAAGTAAATGATTAATAGTAGTTGAGCTATTTAATCATTTAGTTCCTATCCTAAATACTATTATTTATGATCTACAATTTCAACAATCAAGATTGATATTGTGATGTGGATTATTGATATCCACACAAGTAGTATATGACAGTGGTCAGGCATAGAATGTATTTTAGTAGAAGGTCAATGAGCAAAGAATGGAAACGAAACACAATTGGTATGAATATTGGTAGAAGAAGGCATCAAATAAATATGCGCTACATAAATCACTTGATTTGTGTGAGGGCTTGGATACTGAATGGGTGCTCAAACCGAATCAGGTGGTTTTCTTACGGGGGGAATGGCACATTCAAAGCCGTTGACCTGAAGGTCTGATCGACAAGACAGTTGATAGGTTTGAAGCTATTACAAGTTCACTTAGTATGCGAACGGAACAAAGACTTGTGACCATAGACTAATAGGCTAGCTATTTGATGCGTCCCAGCCCCACTAACTAGAGGAAGTTCAAGCTTGGAACGGGAAAGTATATTCCGTAAGCCAGAAGCACGAGTGAATAATAACAGATACAAATCAAACGTATATATACAACAAGAAACTGTCTTTGGGAAGCGTAGCAAAAATAGCATATTAAAAATACACAACGGACCAATAGCGTTAAAGATTCTCCCAAGTGGAAAATACGACATGAAGGTGAAAAGTGTGCTTTTGGCGCGAAAACGAGCAAATTTAAATTTCCAAAATAAAATCATAAAATTAAGGCATTTACCAAGTGAGTTCTGGGGATCTAACATCCCCAAAAACAGTGGAGCAACATCACGTGATGCAGTCCCATGATAGCCGGTGATCAACAATAGGTTCGTAAGCCCTCTGTTCTCTCAGGATACTGGAGCCTATAAGCACCATTGGTTTCGAATCAGGGTTTTACAACTCCCTTAGATGGATCCTTGATACTCACCAACCCGTTTAAAGCGTCGGATATTAGCTTTCCGTCCTCTTAATTTCGTAAACAACATCGCCGCAACGAGAAGGCAGTTAGAAGGACTTCCCTGGCAGTGGTAATATACACGTGATCATATGAGAGCATTTCGGGAGGGAGAGCTGACTCTCGTTATTCTCGGCCGTACCAGGGCATTTGGGGGCAAACCATACAAACTATAGGTTGACATTATTATGAGTACTGCCTGAGGATATTTCCAATATGCGTCACCATGTATCTAAACAGTCAAAATTCCCAGGTTTGTTTAATTGTTCTCATAATTTTGATTTAATAGTTAAGTGAAGCCCATATGCAGTGTGACATAGATGGTCAAATTCAGTGCTATTTCTTTTGGACACGAGATTCGAAGAACGGAGCATGCCGTTTCACGGACATTGTAGGAATTAACAGTATCTATAAATGTAATAGGGAAAAAATGCCACTCTGCTAGTTAGTGGTATTAGATGCATCTATGAAGGTTATGTCAGTAGCCTTTGAATTTACAGTTCCAGAGATTCACTGTGGCATATGTACATATATCTTGTAAAATACTTAACGGTACATTTCTGATTGTGCCAACATTTCACTGAAAACATTTGTGAAATAAAATTTATCGATATAGACATGAGAATAAACCTCCTTCCTTCTTAAAACCCGTAGCTTGTATCACCGATAGCGTCCACTAAAAACTTCCATTAAACAAGAAGGATTACCTATCGTGATGAAGCAACTGAGCTATAATAGCTGGAACAACCGTTCCTGAAGGTCCTAGCATGCCAGACAGGTCGGTAAGACTAAAAGCAACAAACCAAAGGTCCGAAGGAGAAGTCGTACTGCTGACTGTACAGAGGTGTGACAGCAGTAAGGTGTTTCCTTCAGACAACCAGCATAACAGCGATGCTGCCTTCCCACAAGTAGGGGTTGGGTTAGAAAAGGTCTAACCTAAAAATTCACACCTCGCCTTATCTCACGGATAAGGTAACACAAAAACTACTCACAGAAAAGTCGTGTGTGACCGACCTCAAGCAGCTGTCCCTTGGGCACTGCGGTCACACTCTCAGGTCACTATGACCACCTCTAATCCAATTTCCTCTTCAGGTACCTCCAGAAGAACCCTTCCACGGTGTGGGCAACCGGGAAGTGATAACCGTCCCCATACCTCTAACAGCACTCAAGACCACTGACTGACAATATTACACATATTAGTTATCTAATATTGTACATAAAGATCCCATAGATTTTAACCACTAGGATAAGAGTTATCTTATTGATTAAACAGTTGGTGAGATTATAATTCATGGACGATCTTTGAGCGATGCCAAAATGACCTTGAGAGTGTCTACCTACTTACTAGGATTAAATGACGATTATTAAACAGTTTGAAGAATAAGGATTATGATTCAAACTTGATGGTTAGGGTTAGGAATTAGATTTACGGGTATTTTTTTATCACGAATTGACATAAACTAAAATGCCAAGACGCTATTTGACCAAATGGGTAGGTGAATTTCTCGCAAAAATCCAAGACCTGTTATCGTAAATCTGATTGGTTCGTCCATAAATTATAGTCTCGCCATTTTGTGCCCAGACGTTAGGTTTGAAATGATGAATGGCTTTAACTTCAGCTGTGAACGAATTTTTGCTTTATACAAACTTTCTTTGACCCAGTTCTTCGTAGATGATGATTCTCGTAGTAGTATATGGACAAGAGTTAACTATGTGTTCACTCCTTTATTTTACTATAGACTATTAAATGTAGTAAAAATGGGCTATAAATACGATTGCACAGTATAGGAGAATGATATCGTCAAAGAGGAAATTTTAATTAACTATAACTTGAAAAAACTTTCATTTAACTAACTTGTGCTGCATCTGTAAGACCCCATAATCCATCAAACGAAACAATACCTGCACGTATACCACATTTTCTACGTGTAGCTGATAAATAAATTGGTCCAATTGGAATAAGAGGACGACGTCCAGGAGCAAATTTATTCAATTTTATTTCTGAGAATAATTGTAACACTGAATTCAAATGTACACCTGTACCAGGTACAATTTGTCCATTACCAAATGGTGAACCCATGAATATATTACCAACAACAGTAAAACTAGTTGAATCAGTTGTTACAATACCTGTGCTACCGATACTGGTACCTTCCTGATAGTAGGGCAGAGAATTATTAAAAATGTAATAAACAAAATAATTGTTATGCTCAATATCCCGAAGGAAAAGATCAACTTGAAATTTAAAGAAACTTGAGTTTTCTTCACTATATTCATTGAATTAAATCTTTGTTAAATTATAGTTTGTGGATAGATCTTCAGTATCTAATTGAAAGCAGTTGTTTTAAGTGATCAGACCAATCCTGGTAATCTTAGCCAGATTTTATATTGTCATTCATTTCATTCCAACCATTAGTTACGATAATCATACGGACCCCAACCAAGTAGTCTGGACTTACCAACATGGCTCAGACTAGAAATTAGTGACTTTAAGCACTGATGACACGTTTTAGTTTGGCTGCCCCTAACTTTCATCCAACCATCCCCTACACTAGTCAGCATCGCGCGTCGTGGTAATCGGTGTTCAGGCATACGTAGCACGTGACCCGACCATCTCAGTCAATGAAGATTCACAACCTCATCAACTGATTTACCATCATTGTTTAATACCTCGCGTCTAACCTCACTATTACTTACCCGATGATCCCAGCAGATGCGAGCAATATTCCTAAGGCATCTATGGTCAAATACTAATAACTTACGAGTATCTTCGACTCTTAATAACCAACGTTGTGAATTAGATTTTTAGGTTAAAGGCTCGGGGTGTGTCCTCCCTCCAAGAAAACCACTTGCTTCGGTTTGGACACCCAAGCAGTATCTTAGCTCTCACACATATTGAATGATTTATGTGGCGTATATCTATGGCCACGCGTACATAGCCCCTGCTAGGGAAGTCCTACTCACTGCCTTCACGTGGCGGGGGTGTTGTTTACGAGAATGAGAGGACGAAAAGCGAATGTCCGGCACCGGCTTTAACCGGATCCCAAACCAATGGTGCACATGGGCTGGGTCCAGGATCCTGAGGGAACAAATGGCGTATGAACCAATCGTTGGTCACCGGTTACCACGGGACTGCATCTCCTTACGATGCTCCACTGCCTTGTGGATTAGACCTTTAGGTTAAAGGCTCGGGGTGTGGCCCCCTAAGACTACCACCTGCTTCGGTTTGGGCATCCGAGCAGTATCACAGCCCTCACACAAATCAATCGAGATTCGTGTGGCGCATATGTATTTGGTGCCTCCTTGTACCAATACCTATGTGTTAAAATAAATAAATAAATAGTCTATTTGGTACCTCCTTCTACCAATGTTTATGTGTTTAAATAATAATAATAATAACATTAGGATAATAAAACCATTATGACAATTGATTTGCCACTAGTACTCTTCAAGTTTTCTTTTTAAATAAGATTTTACACTTACCAATTCTATTTCAACTTTACGTATTCAATTCTATTGTTTACTTGAATAGAGAATGAGATATTTAATACTCTTTTGTTAAAAAAAAAATGACTATAAAAATACTTGAATTTATCTATATTCAAAGTAAAATTAGAAATTATTTTGAGTATATGTATTAGTGGGACATAGATTGGATTAAAGCACGTTCTGTACCATGACTATGTTGGTGCATGTTGATTGGTTATTTTTTTATCCAATCAGAGCTAGCGGATACTTGGCGAATACTCTAGAATCTTTTCATGTAAACAAACGATAAATATTACTAAGGTTTCTTGTATTGTGCTTCTTATTTTCATCTACCACTTGTTATTTGGAATATCATTTTGTTCATGTTCAACCGTGTTTTGATTTGGAGACTTGTTGAGTGAATTATTCACTATTATTAAAAATGCAACTATTTCATAATAATCTTAAGCAAAGAAGAAAATAACTTTAGATAGAATAACTGAAATCATTTCATGATATTATTATTTATTTGAACACATAAATACTGGTACAAGAGGACACCAGATACATATGCACCACATTCATCTCATTTTTATTTGTGTGAGGGCTGTGATACTACCCGGGTATCCAAATTGAAGCAGGTGGTTTACTTACGGGGACACACTCGGAGCCTTCGAACTAAAGGTATAATCCATAAGACAGTGGAACAACATCACAAGATGTAGTCCCATGGTAACCGGTGACCAACGATTGGTTCATACGGCATTTGTTCCCTCAGGATACCGGAGCCCATGTGCACCATTGGTTTCCAATCAAGGTTTTCCAACTCCCTAGGTAGGTCCTCCATATGCACTAACCCGGTTAAAGCGCCAGACATTCGCTTTTGGTCCTCTCAATTTCGTAAACAATACCCCCGCGACGAGAAGGCAGTGAGTAGTAATATATGTTATGTAATGAAAAGATTTGAAAATCTGTTGAAAGCACTTTATACAACAATGAGTTGAGAAAAGGGTCAGATAATTCAATTTGTTATTAGATCTATTTGACAACATGATATATAAGTAGTCTAGTAGGTTAATAGAACGTGTATTTTTAAACAGTTTTACAATCATACTTTCTTAAATGTCAGAGATCTGGAATAGTACGTGAACAACAGTCGATAAAACATAAAATTTATTCCTATGTTAATATGCCTTTATTATGAGATGAAATCGAATTGTTTACCATAGATTTGATTGAATAAGATGTCAGGACTGTAGCAGTGTGAATGCTAGATTTCAATCTCATCAGATATGATAATGCTTACATACAACCGATAAGTTACATGTTGAGATGAGGCAAAAATTGTATATTAGGTTGTCAGTGATTATGAACTATTACAAGAAAAACTAGTTAGCATTATGTTGTACGCTCCTTATGTGGATAGATATAAGTAGTATGCATCAGGCATCGGAAGTAGAATTCTTACTGACAGAAGAGAAAAGGAAACAGAAAGCAATCAAAATAACAACAGGAATGGAATAACATGCATAACATAACTGATTTCCCCTGCCCAAGCCTTCATGCATTACAATATATACATATGAAAGAAAACAAATATATAGTTAAACAGACAACAATATTACTAGTTAATAAAAAGAAGATATATTTCTAGTGTAGTTGTTATGGTTTTTGCCCCTGTCAATTATCACGTGACGAAGTCATCGATCAGAATACTGATTTACATAACTTTGTTCCTGTGCTAAACAACGTCGACCAGTACTAGTAGTGTTAAGTCAACTCTCAATTCTTATTAGTCCTCGACATAGCAGCTTCTTATTTAGCCCTGTCCGTTGAGTCCAGAACACAATAATATATTTCAGACATACGTGGTTTATATGCAAACAGACCAGACCACATCATACCATAAAATAAAAAATAATAATTATATAAGATCAAGCTAAAAGTGGTTGTGATTATAGAAAACTGTAATCAATAGATTGGGAATAAATTAAGATTACTAGATTTTATAACAGTAGTTAATAGGTCGAATGAAAGCTTATGGTTAAATGAATATGAATATACAGATAATCGAGTTACTTAATAGTTATCCAATAAGAATATATATAATAATAGCTCCCAAATGCCCTGGTACGGCGGAGAGTGGAGAGAGTCCGCTCACCCTCTCGAAATGCTCTCACATGGCCACGTCCATAAATCAACTACCAGGGAAGTCCTACTCACTGCATTCTCACGCCACGGGTGTTGTTTACGAAATTGAGAGAACGGAAAGCGAATGTTTGGCGCTTTAACCGGGTTGGTGTAAACGGTAAGTCCACCTAAGAGAGTTGGAAAACCCTAATTTCAAAACGATGGTACACATGGGTTCCAGTATCCTGAGGGAACAAATGGTGTATGAACCGATCGTTGGTCACCGGCTACCATGGGACTGCATCTCCTTACGATGCTCCATTACCTTATGAATCAGACCTTCAGGTCGAACGCTCCGGGTGTGTCCCCCTAAGAAAACCGTCTGCTTCGGTTTGGGCACCCGGGCAATCTCACAGCCCACACACAAATAAAATGAGATTTGTTCGGTGCATATGTATTTGGTGCCTCCTTGTACCAATATCTACATGTTCAAATAAAATAAAATAACATTCTGTATACAGTAACACCTTATCTTCTTCTTAGAGGTCTGGTTAATCCAAAAGATAGATCTTGATTTGAAGATTTAATGGGAGAGGTGGAAACAATTTTGATAAGAACACTTAGCCATAAGTTCTTTGAAAGTAAGTTAAAATGATTAGCGAACTAATGCATCGATAAAAATGGAGGATATCTAGCATCAGGAATTTTAGCTCAAAAAAAAAATAGAGATTTGAATTTACGAGGAAATAATAAATAAACGAGTTTAGGGGATTCAAAAATGTCAAAAAGCAACTGAATTAAGAAATATGTATAGAACTACTTCACTGATAACATTTAAACGAATTTATCTACTAACATATTTAACTTACGGAAGTTGTTTGAAGGACGTCTAGTTGTGAATGTTCTTTTACTATACGATTATCTAGAACACTAGCTACAGTAGCTTCACGTACAGACTTTGAGAAGATACTGTCCAGAGCAGATGCAGCTGCTACACCTAAGTAAAAAAAAGACCTATCCATCAATCAAAAAGTTTTATTTTCAAGACTAATAATTATTTCATTCAATAGATGTTTGTAGTGTCGGTTATTATGTTAAGCCCATGTACCTTAATTCTAACTTTTGGACAGCTCAATCTATTCATTCTACTTGATTCACATTTTGACATTGTTAATTATTCACTTATCAACCTTGACTGTTTTTATATGAGCGCGTAGGTGTGTGTACATTTCTTATCCCATTACTCATCACATGTCCATAACTTATTTTTGTTTAACTATAATTATTGATTAACCCTTGGTTAAAGGGGAATTGGCTTATCCACTATCTCCACTGCGCGTCGTTTCGCTCCTCTTTATTCCATTCGCTTCATATACAAAATATATGTATTCAAAAGTCTATTCTCGTTATTTGACTTATTTTAATTGCGTTATTCACTGAGCGCGGATTAAGTCGATGATTATATACGAGGGTAGGCGACATATACAATTCAATAACAATCATTCATCCAATCTACTTGGAGTCAGAACTCAGGTCATTAAAGTGGAGAGCCCATGGACAACATCGTCTAATCTAAATGACAACAAAATAAAGGGCCCCACATGTTTAACAAATCAAAGTAGAATTAGAAATTTCGCAGTAGAATTAACGATACAAACATCCACAATGGATGATAGTATAAAAATGAAAACTCTACACATAGCATCTGTTTTTTTGCTTGGAATTACCCATGTATTTTCTGAGAGACAGTCATAGTTGCTTACCTACGGACAGTTGGTTAATAGTTGTTGTAGCCATTAAGTTGTACACTGTACAAATCTACGTCATACATAAAGGAAATTCATCCAATGCTACATGAGTTATAAAGACATGCTAGAGTAATGATAGTAACGGTGTAATAATAATTTGAGAACGACTGAAGCGATGTGTATAGGACCTGGTGCAAATATTCAGTGGTTCAAGTTACCACATTACATATCAGCAGCGGTAAAGAAATAACTCAAAAAGGGTAGAAGGCAATAAAAATAGTTAGGACTTCAGTTATAGCTATCCGAATGAGCAATATTTCTAAAAAAAACTGCCTGTTAGAGATAGACACAAAAGCGGATATATATATATATATATATATATATATATATATATATATATATATGACTAGAAAATTAAAAAATCTGAGTGACTTTTTACCACGACTACCTGGTTGGGATCCGCGAGACAATAGAAACCGATGGTTAGAGATCTTGAATGACATGGCTCAAAATCGTTTGTAATGGCGCAGGTGCATCCACTCTTTGTGTTCTCCCAAATTCTAATCTTCTGAATTCTTCATGTCTTATTTTCTTTTCAAATTTATTCCACTGAATTATACTCCTTGAATAACATCATCAAATCCTAATGTTCCCCATTATTACTTATACTTTCACTACCTCTACCACTACGGGATTTGAATCGATAACTGCATCTCTGTACTAATGTGGTATGGCAACTCGAACTGATGTAAGTACGTACGTACGAAGTTCCACGTTGTTACTGGCTGACCACGAATCAAGCAACATTGTAGTAGTTACTTGAAACCAAATTGTATTGCTACTGGGTGATAATTTTATGTTATTATACAACAAAAATGGGTAAATGTATACACTTACTTATTGTAGGATCACTCAGATCTCCAAGTGTAGTAATTGATGCTTCAGCTAAACGAGCCAGTTCCATAAGACGATGCAAGTAGATAGCAGTCACAATTGGATCTTGTTTGAGTAATGCTTGATGATCAAGTGGAGTGAGTGTATCTTTAAGATCTAAATTGCCCAATAAGAGTAAAATATACGGACCACCAACTAATGGAGGTGGAAATGATTCCAGTGTGAAACCAGCGAAACCCATCTGAATAAAAAAACATAGAAATTATTGTAATTTAAAGTATGTAAATATACAATTTAATGAATGTCGATTATCAATCGAAACGGTGAGGGTATTCGTTTTCATATGAGTGAATTGTGAATTAAAATTGTAGGTTGATAACGTTTCAATATCCCAAACCATCCATTTGGTATTCGCCAAGGTATTTTTCAATTTAGTGAAAGTTACCACCATAAACTCACTTTCATTTAGATGACTACTGAAATTACTACTTATACATTTATAGAACACTGAGGTTCGGATTCAATGGTGTACATTACCGAATTCAAACAAGTAGTGAAACGGTTTTCGGGCTGAAGTCAATCTGTGGTATGAATTATATCGATTCTGGACAATCTTTAAATACCACCTTTAATTGAATAGTAATATGCACATTAGTAACCAGCCTTTACAGGGATTCTCAAAATCCTAGTATCAACCCGTGACTGGTGTAATTTAACTGTGACGACGGACCGCGGGTAAACTCGAGGAAGCTATAAGAGGCTCAGAAGGAGCCGAAGATATTCCAGTCAATCACCGTTAGCAAGAATATTCTAGAATCCCTACGTGTAGCTTCCCGATTGGACAAGGTTAATAACCCCCTGTATGCGGATTGGAGGACTATAATGATGATTTTTGTTCTTACTAAAACTATAAATACCTGACAATTTGTACCCATAATTGACTCTGTTTGGAATAACATTCCTTTCACTAGTCTTCTGTCTTCTCTTTGCGACTTGGAAGGGTTTGGGCGTTCGTGTGTCCAGTTGTACTCGTTATATCAAATCAACCATTTCTAGATATAACAACTGGCGACGGGGATGGGATTCGAACCCACGCGGGGAAACCCCAATGGATTAGCAATAACAATTGGCGACGGGGTAGAAAAAATTCCTGAACCCTCAATCTTCAACGTCAACCTGTAATTGGACGAGATTCAGTCTAATTATTTTCGAGCAATCAGCATTCAGTTTTTGTCATCAGCGTCCTTGAAAGACATTGGTCGTTAATTAATCATACAACATTTCTCATCACGTGCTGATTCAGGAAATGGCTGTCTCTCCCGATCAATTACAATTGCTATTTGAGCGACAAACGCAGCGGTTCAAAAATAGCCAGCTGAATGTTTTAGACAATTTACGTACACGGCTGCTAAATCATCCATGTTTTGGAGATGTTACAGAAGTTGATAAATTAATTTCTAATTTGCATACGGAGCTGGAAACGGAATGCAGTACATATGAATGTGCTGATAAAAGCCTCTATGAATCCTTGATGAGCAGTAATGTAAGTGAAACAGTCATTCATGATCCGCCCAGTGATCCAGAAATGTCCACTCCAAAAACATGCCCAGTAATGGATCCAAACTCCATTATCCTTGAAACATCATGTACAGACAGTGACGTATCCAGCTCACATAAGGACGCCCTGCTAAATGTTCTTGTAAGTGTCGCAGTAATCGCCCATGAAACAGAAAACAAATCGTGCAGTACACTGAATGCAGCTGCACCAAATGAAGCTCATCATTCCGCGATAGAAGTTCCTGACGAATCTAATCGCGATTCCCTTGATTTGCCAGAAAATATGTCATATGTGTCAAATAATGATCAAGAACCTGATTCAGTTTTGATGGACGCTGATTATCATAGCGATCCACTATCTACTAGTGATATTCTTGATAAATTTGATGATAATCTTTCCGAAGAATCAAAACTCGATGACCTCATGTCAAGCGTCGTTAACCCTCACTTAGTCATGCTCAGTCGATTTCTTGTGCGCTGCGACAAATATATTTTAATTAAAGTCAGATCAATTGTATTTTGGGTATATGAGGACCCAACATTGTTTCGTGGGGGAGGATGGACCCGATAAACTTATATTCCGGAAATCAGGTCCGGATCTTCAAAGAACGGGAGGTGTTGGGGTATTCAGAAAATACCCCAGAAATTATCTAATGCTATTCCTGAATGAGAAGTAGTGTCATTTCCCCATTGGTCAACATTCTTCCAACGTGTCATCTCCTTATTGGTCAGTATTTATTTGTGTCATTTCCTGAAGGTTAAATCTTGTACAAATGTTACTTTCTATTTTATGGTACGATGTAGTCTGTTTGTTTGGTATATAAACAGTGTATGTTTGAAATATAACGATTCATATCTCCGAGGCTGAGACTTGTGTTCTGGACTCAATTGGCTGGGCTAGACAGGGAAGCAGGACCAATCAGAGCTCTAGGCTGCTCGCTCGTATTTTATGCGTCACTGTTTCGATCGATAATAGGCTGCTCTCCGATAGGCGGATCACACGTTATAACATTAACCAACCCGGGGAATGATCCAGATATCATTTTTACCATGATGGTAAAGACTGTACAATATCTCGAATTGATTGAAGTTATTAATGTGGACAAAATGGGTTAAGATTCAGTGGTCTGCCTGCTGAGGCTAGTATGGTATGGTTTAGAATTCTGTGTGGTGTGGGAGGTCGTAGATAGAGACTGTTAGAACGTTCCAAATTATAACGAAACAGCTGTTTAGTGTTTTATAGCCTTGAAAGATTCTTTCCAACTATGCAAATAATGTAATAAATTCATCCTGCTTTCTCTTAAATGACTAATCTTACGTTTATTCACTAAATGTATTCTCATAAGTTTATGCATAAACAACTGACAATCTCTAAAGTGAAGTTAATCCCCGTAAAATTCAAGTGAAGCGATTACAGTGGTCAAGTATACTTTTCTTTTTGCTTACTCCGTTGAAGAAACAAGGCGAGGATTGCAATCGAATTTATGCATTAAATATAAATTATGGCATAAAATGATATTTATAGACCATACAATAATTGACACTCAATTAAGCTGAAGTTATAAATAACATAATAAATATATTTGTCTTAAAGTTTATCCATTCCGACTTTATCATTTATTTATTTGAACACATAAACATTGGTACAAGGGGGAACCAAATACATATGCGCCACAAAAATGAGGCCAGTAGAAGATATAATTGATTTGTGTGAGGTCTGGAATACTGCCCTGGTGCCCAAACTGAAACAAGTGGTCTTCTTAGAGGGCCACACCTCGAACCTTCGATCTAGAAGTCTAGTCCACAGAGCAAGTGGAGCAACGTCACATGATAGCTGGTGATTAACAATAGGTTCATACGCTATTTGTTCCCTCAGGATACTGGGGCCCATGTGCACCATTATTATTATTATTATTTTAACACATAAGTATAGGTACAGGGAGGCACCAAATACATATGCGCCCCACAATTCTCAATTGATTTGTGTGAGGGCTGTGATACTGCCCGGGTGCCCAGACCGAAGCAGGTGTGCACCATTGGTTTCCAATCAAGGTTTTCCAACTCCCTAGGTAGGTCCTCCATATCCACTAACCCGGTTAAAGCGTCGGACATTCGCTTTTCGTCCTCTCAATTCCGTAAACAACACCCGTGGCGCGAGAATGCAGTGAGTAGGACTTCCCTGGCAGTGGTTGTAAACGTGTGGTCATGTGAGAGCAGTTCGAGGGGGACGGAGTGGACGCTCCCCTCTCAGCCGTACCAGGGCATTTTGATGCCCGATTCATTATTATTATTCACAGACAAATCCATGTGCATACGTGTAAGTTACATCATCATAACGATTCAATTGTTTAAACTTAAATAACTGAATTATAGTGTGTTGTACACTACTCATACCTATACGCATAAGTGGTGGACAATAGTGGATCATCACATTATTCACCACAAACTTACAAAATTTAAAAGCAAATATTCTAATGACAAGATACGAAAGTTACAAGATAAACAGAAGAGGGAATTAGTAAAACTTGCTTAAGTTTCGATATTAAAACACTGTTATATCCTAGTGAAGATTAAATTACGAGTAACCTCTGAGATCTATTAATGAACTAATATTATACATATTTATACCTATTGTATAATTATTCAGTAATTAGGTTGTGTATATTTACATTCCTCTTATTATAAGCTTCCATTTTACCTATAATTTATTATTATACGAATTATTGTTCTTAAGTTATGTCCAGTTTATTGATTACTATCTCCCACGTTCACAGCCACTTCTTGGCTTGATTTTGTATAAATGTGTATTTCCTATTTTATGGTGTGACGTGGTCTGTTTGACTGGTATATAAATCAAGTATGTTTGAAACAAATGATTTGCATAGTAGAAGCTGTTGTTGATGTTCTGAACTCATTTGAATGGGGCTAGGCGAATAAAGGACCAATAAGGACACTAGGCTGCTCATACCGGTCGAATGTCATTAGTTTGGCACAGTGCTAAGATTGTATAAGTTGTATTCCGATCGGCAAGTAAATCATGTGATAACTAGCCGGGTTTAAAGTTACAACAAAAAACAATGATAATAATAACAATAACATACTTTAATTGCATTTGGACGATTAACTGTATAGTTCTTCAAATCATCTAATGACCATTGAGAACCTTGTTGTTTCATATAATCAACAAATTGTTTATTGAATGTATTCTCATTAGTATTATAAAAGTATTCATCACGTTGATTAGCTAAATGTTGTAATGTATTACGTAAGTCAACCGATGGAGAATATGGAGTATTTTCATCGATTAATTGATGTAAAATTGGCTTTAAAAAGTCTGGTGAATTTATTGTTCTTAATTTATTCGCGGCTTCTATTAAAGATTTACTAGGCTAATAGAATTAAGAGAAAAGGAAAATAATAAGTTAAATACACAATCAAATAAGTGTTTCTTTATAGTAGATAATTTGCTCCCAATCGTTGTTGCTACTTTGATGTGGTGGTTGGGATTGCCTATCGGGATAAACCAATCGAACTATACTGGCTGGAATAAGCGTTTCTCAAGGTCCTACAATGTAAGACAGGTCGATTGAGGAACGGTAAGACTAAAAGCAACAAACCAAAGGTCCGAAGGAGAAGTCGTACTGCTAACTGTACAGAGGTATGACAGCAGTAAGGTGTTTCCTTCAGACAACCAGCATAACAGAGATGCTACCTTCCCACAAGGAGAGGTGGGGTTAGAAAAGATCGAACCTAAAAATGCACACCTCGCCTTATCTCACGGATATCCGTCTCCAGCGACAAGGTCTCAGCAAGTACGGAGCTAACACAAAAATTACTCATAAAAAGGTCGTGTGTGACCGATCTCAAGCACCTGTCCCTTGGGCACTGCGGTCACACTCTCAGGTCACTATGACCACCTCTAATCCAATTTTCTTTTCAGGTACCTCCAGAAGGACCCTTCCACGGTGTGGGCAACCGGGAAATGATAACCGTTCCCATACCTCTAACAGAACTCAAGACCACTGACTGACTTAAACTGTAATGGCTACGTTTATCAGTGAAAAATTCTATCGTACAATCGTAATGTACAATTACTTACAATATTACATGTATTAGTTAGCCCATGTGCATCATTGGTTTCCAATCAAGGTTTTCTAACTCCCTAGGTAGATCCTCCATATCCACTAACCCGGTTGATGCACCCGACATCCACTTTTCGTCCTCTTAATTCCGTAAGCAACACCCATGGTGCGAGAATGCAATGAGTAGGACTTCCCTGGTAGTGGTTGTATGAACGTGGCCATGTGAGAGCATTTCGAGAGGGAGAGAGGGACTGTCCCCACTCTCAGCCGTACCAGGGAATTCGGGGGTGCATTTCGATATAAGCTAATGGTTATCTGGATTCAATAGTTTACTGAATAATGCATTAGATGTTTGATGAGAAAAGTATTACGTTCAGCTCCTAGTGTAAACATCGACATTGGGATGCGGAGGCATATTCAATCAGAATGAAATCCACGTTTTGGATTCAGTTGCTAGCCATATATCATGCAATAATACCAACAATTGTTCTGTACAAAATTATACGTTTAATACAATATGGAAATCTCAGTAATATGCTCAAGATCCACGTATCTCGCAGAAATTATTCGGTTACAATCTTGAAAATCAACAAAGGGAAATCAAAAGCCCTTAATAAACTACTAATGTGGTTTTGACGAAATTTTAATGTCAGTACAGGGTTGTAGAGATGATTAAGTTTTTTGGATAAGATTATGAACTGATTGATGTTCTTCACTGTACTTTTATGTAAGTCAAAAATGTATGTAAAGGGCTTCATTATTTGATAAATAACAAAATGATTCGTAATGACATTTCGCGAAGCAGTTTTATATTTCCATCGTTTAGAAAGATATAAAACATTAGAAGAGCAATCATTATTTATGCTGCCTAGAAGACTGTATTCATTTAACCAAATAAAGCTGGGTAGGTAGGTGTGTAGGGTAGTATGGAAAACTAGTTAGCCAGTTGATAAAAATGTGCTTCTTCATTGATTAAACTAATTGAAGATATTTACAAAACAATATACCAGTCACTGTCTAAATCAGAGGTGAAATAGTTATTGATATAAGACTAGGTTTGGTAAAGGCCTGAAGTGACAAACTAAAATATAACATCACCTTATGAAGTCATCAAGTACTAGTTTTGAACCATATCCAGGAGTGTAGACTTCTTAATACTATTTCATATTCCTTATTCAATTACCACAATCTCTTACTGACAATATTCTTTATCAACAGGGTGATATCACTAGCCCTTATATCCACAGTACAAGTGAAAATCAAGTATATGAATCTGTACCTGATACATGAGTTAATAAAATGAGAAAAAATAATTATTAGTCAGTCGGTAATACAGAATATAGGATCTGGCACGAGTGTTTACCAGTCAAAGTTGTGAAACATTACAACAAAAGAAAGTGATGAAGAAGAAGTATAAATAATAGTGATAATATTTCTTACAATGAGAAGTTAGGCAAAAGAAATCTAAATTAAAGGGAACAAGTAACTGAAATCAAATAATAGCATGGAATGGGACAAGCCACAACATTTAGAAGAACATAAAAAACATATACCAAACAATGTTTCCGGTCACAGATAACCATTATTTAGGGAATCTTGAAAGGGTACGTTGAGCTTACTGATATGGTTAAGTTTAGCAGTTATTTTACTCGTGGTCTGATATTACATCTTCTATGGGTTACTACAATCCACCTTCAAATCAACTTCGCGAACCGGAATTAAGCCTCGGAGTGTGCGGTATGTACGATTGTATAACAAATGTTCTAACTATGTCAGTCGATGCATGTTTAAAGCACCATCGATCGACAATGCCTTAAGTCATTATCACTCAATTAATGGTTCTACCATAGACAAGTAAGGTTTAGAAGACACCTATGTTCAAATAGTAGAAACTTGTGCATACCTTTCACGTTCATTGATTATGATTTACAACTATATATCAACGCAAAGTGGACCCTTGTGCAGTGTGCCCGTCTCCTGATGAGAACACACATATATTGTTTGCGCCATAGGTGAGGCAAGTTTTTTAAAATAAAGCGAGTTTTTAATATTCAGGCAGAGATTTTATCAATCACCAATGTATTATGTAAAGTTGTAAACAAGAAATGTTTTCATTTGTAAACAAATCAACAACAACAACAGAGTAGAATTATAAATATATTGAAAGTAACATAAAATTGGTGCAGATCTTACCATGAAAGCCTTTTTAGTTAAATCGATCGCACCAGTGAAAAGATCCGACCATTTTAATGAACCAAATCGTTGATGCATAACTGCAAGACCACGTACTAGAGACGGGATACCTACTAAACTTGCAGGTTTATTTTTATCTGGTCTATCTTGTTCTGTCGCACTATTACGAACAGGGCAAGTGAAGTCAAATAAGTGACTTAATTGTTTATTACGATCACGAACTAGTACAGCGCCACATCCTCCTAAACCTATGGTTAAAAGTTAAATATAGAATATTTACTATTGAATATAACAGAAAATATACACTTAACGGCAAAGATATCATTAATAAGAATTTATTATTATTATTAGTACTATTGCAGAAAATGAATCATTTTAATAGTATAACAATTACAACTTTAATCTTGTCATTACACTGAAAAAAACCCCCAAAGAACGAGGAAATAAGTGAGTGATATGAAATATAGCAACATGATTTGATATACACTTATATCAGGTTTTAAAACAGATGAAGACTGATATTTGTTAGCCGATAACAGTTTGATTCACGAAGTTTATTTAAGGGCGCATATCAAGCTTGAGACACGATAAATGAAGTTTCTACCGAATGTATAAGTCACAAGATTTTATGCCTTATACGTATGACTTCATGCGGTAAGCCTTAGACTCTACCTTGTGTCACAGGGTTAATCATACCTATATGACTTCTCAAACCAAGAGGACAGTAACATTTGACTGTGATACCCATTGGTTTGAATAATAACCCACTTACTTGAGTTTCAATGATTAGGAAGGTATATCTAAACCAAAGACAACAAATAAGCTCTAAAACCTTGTAAAAGAACTCAAACTTGGTTCTTAGTGGAGCGATGGGTTAGTGACTGAAGTGCTCTACTCTCTACTATGTTCAAATCTCATATTAACTACTTTAATCTGAGTAATTAGGTAGTATCATCAGTTTTTACACTCAAACTTGTGGCTAGAAGACGATTACAAAACTTGCACTTTGTAAATACGTTAAATTATTATTTTGATTACTACTTAGTAAGTAATTCCTACTAACATCATTCCACTAAGATCTGCACATTATTTTTTATTTTATACAAAAAACATCTTGCTTATAGTTTACATTAAGATGTACTTTGTTAGGATCTATAATTTGATAGTTAAATACAGATTTGAATACCTGATGTTAAGGTATATTTTTTGTATAAACGCTGGAGATGCTAAGCGATTGGCTAAACTGAAGTGGGTAGTACAGCGTCCAAGTATACAATTTATTATTATTTATTTTAACACATAGATATCGGTACAAGAAGGCACCAAATACATATGCGCCACAAAGATCTCATTTGATATGTGTGAGGGCTGTGATACTGCCCGGGTGCCCAAACCGAAGCAGGCCAAGTATACAAATTAGTGGCTGAAAGTTAAGTACATTAATTATTCAGTTGTCGTTAATTGTGAGGAGCTTTCTTTCACTTATATCACTTAGTAGTGATAGTAATATATGTCATACAGCTTTTATGGGATAAAGTAATGGAAAAGAAATTAAACACTTCAAAGGAGATTCTTGTTTTATGTAAAGTGCTTTAAGCTTACACAGGAAACAGGCAACTAGTTACTGATGTAAAGCATACGTAAAATCTTTAAGAAGAACTAACAGAAAATATTCTCGGGAGAAATAGACCAATATTATACTCAGAATGAAAACTTTCTTTATGTAGGTAAGATTTCTGCGAAACTACTCACAAGATATAAAATATGCTAAGCATGACATAAAAAGTCGTTTGAAGATTGTTTATAATAAGAATATTATACTTCTGAAATCAATATCGAATAATTGTATGATTAATAATTCTACTTCTTATTACTGAGATCTAGTTCTAAGTCATAAACCAATATGAAATAAGATATTGTACACTGTAAATTATATTAAGTTTAATACAAGAAAATGGACGGATTCTAGCAAAGATTTTATTCTCGCTTGTATACAACTCCAAGAATGAAATTATCAAAAAGAAATATGTTTTCGGTTAACTAAATACACACACTCCCTTGTTTCATGTCTCAATGGATATTTTCTATTTGTTTGTACACAATAGAGTGATAATATGAACAAAAATACACTGTTCCATAGAAATCCCATAAAATTCTTTTGAAAATCTTAATGAACAAAAGTTTAATCTGTTGAAATTGAAGTACCATAGACAGACCATACTATAATAGATTTCTAGGCACATACTGTTTAGAAGCATTGGGTTATTGACTATGTAATAGGTTATGTAAACTAACGTGGAATAACCGAATGGCGAATGACTACGTAGAAAAAATTACTTAGAGAGAGCTTTCTCTAGAAGGACTGACATTATAAAACTTCAAAATTGATCAAGTAAATAGATTATTTTACTTAATGAATTCACACACAAAAACGTTAACTCAAAAATAGACATAAATGGGACGTATGGATAGTAAGGCCTGTTTCTAAAATTTACAGGAAATTTTATGGATTTAGCTAACACTTTATTATATTCTTTTACTGTCAAGTGTTTTATGGCTTGGCTCTCGGCAAGTTCGAACGAGAACCGAGAGGAAACTTTGCATATTCCAATACAACAAAACAACAAAAATTCAAGTATTAAAAAGGATTTACATAAAAATCTCCTATCCATTATGACGAGAGTCAGTCAGTCAGTTACAACGTAGGACCAGGCACACATATGCATCGACCCAAGTTAACACACCTCATCAGCACAACAAGATGAACACCAAATTCATACAAGTAGTTACTTCAATGGTAGTGATATATAAAAGAAAGATTGCGTATAAGGATATAATACAGGAAGAAAGAATTAGTCCATAGAAAGAAAGGTATAAAGCAATTTTAATCTCACGGTTTAAGGGAAGACAAAGAATGTATACACCTACGACATTGTGGTCGATTCAGAGCCATGTCACCAAGAGTCTCCAACCATTGGTTACGACAGTCACGCAGACCCCAACCGAGTAGTCTGCATCTATCAACATGGTTCAGACTAGAAATTAGTGACTTCAAGCACTGACGCCACGTTTTGGTTTGGCCGCCCCTAACTTTCTTCCAACCATCCGCGACACTAGTCAGCATTACGCGTCGTGGTGATCGGTGTTCAAACATACGTAACACGTGGTCCAACCATCTCAGTCTGTGAAAACGAGAGTTAACAAAGTCATTTGAGAGGAAAGGAGGAATATGTTAAGTAAAGTCTTAAAACATGGATAGTCGGTGGTTCTCAATAAAGTAATAAAAAGTGTGGAGTTACGTACTAAACAACACAACAATAACTTTTGCCAATGTTCAACGCTACGAAATACCAAACTGAATATCAGAGGGAAGAGTACAATAGGATGATAGAAACGAATAAGTACTAAATAAGATTCACGTCGTATTTGAAATTATAGATAATAAAAGAGATGAGACAAATTAAATCAGTTATTCTGATTTTATGAAATTGATAAAAATATGAGGTATGAATTACTACTAAATGAAACTTACTTGCAACATCAGGGCGAGTTACAGTTAAGCATAACATAACAGATACCATCGCATCAACAGCGTTCCCTTTGTTGTTTCGCATTATATTTAGGCCTATTTGACCACAGAAATCATCGTCAACTGCAACAGCACCTTGAGGTACGACCTTTGTTTTACAATTAATTAGTTTAAGGTAGACATTACCTGAGGCTGTCCAAAAATAATGCTGAAAATTAAAGCTATAGTTATAGCAGTCGATAAGACTATCACAGACAATACAACTATATTTACACCCTCAAGTCGCCACTTTTTATTCGATTCATTTGTGTTTTTTAAAATACTGTCAGTATCTTTATTGACTATATATTCATTGTCTTCACCAAAAGGTGCTTGACGGGTCTTGGAAATATCCGACTGAGTCAGTTCAATATCAGAATTCTTCTCTTCAGATTTACTCTCCATCGCCAAAACAAATGGGTGGGAAAATTACAATATGTGAACTTTTCTTTTTACTGTAATGGCTATAAAAAGAGAGTATTTGTTGTTAACACGGTCTAACGTAAAACTTAAGGCTATGGCTACTGAGAAATTCAAGAAGAATAAGCTGGAAGGAAAATAATAGTGAAAGATATTATTCATTATGTTGAACTTCAATAACGATCACAGTAAAAGAAGCCAGTTACTGGTATATATATATTCCAATTAGATGTTACTTCATTAACAAACATTGTTTGTTTCAAGTTCGTTCGGGTGAAAGTAAATACCGTTTCGTAAAGCACCGTAACCATATTCCTAACGTGCCTTAGCTGACTTTTATCTATCTATCTCGGAGGAAGGATTGAGATAACAAAAGAGAAAACGAGCTTGTATCAAATCGTAAAAGTGCTGCTCAAGCGAGGCAAACAGAGTCTAGCCTTACTGATTGAGACCTTAATTTATAAAGCAATAGAGACCTCGAGAAAAATCTGCGTGGCAGAACATAATCGATAAAAAAGAAGTTATAGCCAAGCACATTTTATGGGACTTTCCGGCATGTGAATTTCCAACGTAAGATTATCAATTGGTTTAACGTGATTGACAGGTCACAATGAAGCAGACACATTCACTCTGTCATAAATTAGACTTTGGGTACTAAGACTGTCTTAGACTTTTAGTTTTGTGAAGTCATTTATTCCTCTCGAATAACCATATCTAGGCCTAATATTTTGTATCACTGGTACTGGTACTACTTCTAGCACTCTAGAATTAGTCTTTACAAATTTGCCACACTGTGATACAATGATGAGGTAATTTACACCGATGCATATATGTACCATATTTGAGGTACTTATGATTTTCATTACTTAGTCAATAAAAATCTGAAAACTGGTAAGCGTGGCGAAATGAAACAAAAGTGTGAAACTCTAATGATTCTTAAAATAACGTTCTTTAAAAAATCGTTTACATGAACTACCTTACAACACGAAAAATCAACCGAAATCAGGTAGAAAAAAGATTTAAATATTTTCTAGATGTGACGAATTTAGTTTCTTCGGATGATATTTAGCAAACAGATGATCTTCATACAAGTAATGCTTTTTAATCGACATAGTGAGATAACAGTGGAAAAAACAGCTTTGATCGTAATAATTAACCGTCACAAGTCAAAATGTCTCTTCTAATAAAGAGAAAAAAGGAGAATCTACTCATACATACACTAGGAGCCTGACCAGTATTTTGGGTTAATGTTATCATTCCATAAGGTTTTTATCACCAGCTGACATATTATAATGCAAAAAAGTTAGGGTTAGATAATAAGAGTTAAAGTGGAATTTTGAGTTAGGGTTTACAAACTGAGGGCGAAGTTTTCAATTTGAATCCACGTGAGCAATGATGCAACATCTTGCCAAATTCCTGTTTACAAACGTGAGGAACTGAGGGTTGATATTTTGAGTGAGAGTGAGAAAGGGAGAACATTGCCAAGCTTTACCCGAGCTCCAAATTTTGGGGAAGCCGCTATAGTAAACTTTGGTGAAATGGCACAAAAACCCCAAAAATTCCCCAGACCTGGCGAAATTCTCCCTTAACCTTGGTCAAGGTCATTTGAATTTGAGGGTTTCCCCAAAGTCAACCTACCATGGTAGCTCCCCAAACTCCCAATTTCGGGGAAATCCCCAAAGTTTGGGGAAATCCCCGAATTAATGTGTAGCGCATCATTCCATAGTAACATTTCATAAGCATTCGATTATAAAACGTTAAAGCATTAAATTACAATCAAAATTTGTTGATTTTGATACCCAATGGGGTACTAAACACTCGTAATCACGTAACGAATGACACACGGTATGCTTCAGAAGAAAGTATGTCAGCATCATATAAGATTCACTTCACTGTATAACATACATCATGGATTTTAAGCATCTTAGGGACAAATATTGACAATTTTCACCTGGTTGGTACCATATGTGTTACTTTTCACTGAACTGTGAACTTTGCGCAAAATATTTGAGGTGTTACTTTAACTCCGATTGGTTAACTTAAGGCTGTTAATAAATAGTTTTGTCAGTGGTCTTTATATACAAACCTTTGCGTAACGCACAATTTGTAAAACCCTCAGTTTGTAATACTCAAATTTCAAACTTTGGTAATCAGAATATATCATATTAATATTCGCTTTCATCCTGCTTTGCTGAAATTGTTCTTTTTTTACCTGAGTATGTTAAAGATGAATAAACAGATTGCATTATTTTGATCATGAACGTTGATTAAATTAGATGATAAAAAGTAAATAATTAGATGATGAAGAAAATAAATGGGGGTGCAAAGCAAAGAGCGCAAGATGTGAAAAATCAATTGAATCGTTTACCAAGTAATTTCCGGACAAGGTAGGGATAGCTTCAGATTTTTATAACTACTGCTGTATGTAAGAGACAGGTTCAAACCCTATTGGGAAGTGATTAGTGATCAATGCTCTGGTTTTACAGACAGTGTAACTATCTTCACAGGAGCAGGTGGATTCGGAGACGCTAAATAAGGAGTCGAATTCAAGTAACTTTTTCTTTTTCGGGTAGATATTGCTGATCTATTCGAAAATTTCAATGCATTGTTAGCTACATAAAATGTCCTGTAAACGGCATTAATTGTTTTTGTTGGAGTTTGATTCTATTTCCTTCATATATCAGAAGTAACAGGAGTCAAAGACTACAGTTCTTTTTTACGTGTTCAGAAGAAATCTGCGAGACCCTTCTCCCTTTCTTGTCTGAATATGACTAATAAATGACTTTATACATCATCAAAACCTGTATTTTTATTCTTCTCCACCTCCTTACATTGCTCATTGTTCACTGTTAAATTGCTCAAACATTTCGCTTCACATAATTGTGATGTTCATGATCATTATTTTAATCTATATTTCTTCAAGTTTGACCTAGTTCATGCGTTGAACGTCTGATTAGAACTGTTATTTCCGTTATTCTAACCGCTACCAGTAAACCCGTCTCCTTACTATCGATTTGAAACGTTTAGCTTGAAGATGCCACGGGTATTCGGAGTTTGACAACGCTTTAACCAGTAACACCTTCTAATACGAAGCGCACATAACAAGTAAAATCAAAAGACAGAAGTGAGGAGATCGAAGATATATTTGATAAGCTATCAATATATCGAGGATCGTTTGCACTAATCTGGCTAGCGATTGCGGCAGATGTTGAGCACGGCGTTCCCACACGTGATCTGGTGCGGATGCTTGACCGAGCGCCTTCAGCTAGATGAGTCCACTAAAACTGTGGTCAGCATCCAATGTCGAAAACTTACAGAGCTATTTGATTTTGGGGAATTATTTACCGCTACAAGCTATTATATGTAGCTATGCAATCTATTTCATTAAGGTCAACGACTAGTGCATTGCCCTGATTAGTTTAATATTTTCGTATTAATATGTGAACATTATATTACTGTTTTCAGCCCTTCTTATTTATCTTCTTTGCTTTTACACTGTCGTTCATTCCCATCAGTCGGGGAAGCCACATCAGAGCTACATAGAAACAGTAATGATCTTCAAAAGCTACCTTAGAATCGCGACCATCAATATCCAAAAGCTTTTCAATGTTTGTCTTTCATGCAGTTTTGTTCTCTGAGCTCGATGAAAGCTCCACGATCTAACCATTCAGCTCAGAGAACAAAACTCCATCAAAATCATCCACTTGAGCTACAAATTTTCTCCACTTTTCGTTTTTCTTCAAAAAATTTCTTTTTTCTACATTTCACAGTTGGGTATTTGGTTCGTCTTATAACAGCATTTGCTACACCGACACATTATTCGCTATCAGTACTCATGTTATCAATGCATCCAACAATAACTTTCTCGTTAGCTACCCGCTGCTTCCTGCATCAGTAATGTCCCACTGGAACAGCAAAATATACAAAGCCAATCAAACTTTGGTTTCGAGAATCTTTTGTTTGTGGTGAGATTTAGACATGCACACGTTCTGTGCAACAGCTTTTTACACTCATCACGTAGCATTACTTCCGCGGTAGTTATGAAACAATTTGAGTGTCCACACTTATAAGAACAGATCAAAATGGTAAAACAACCCGACGAAAATATATAGGGTAATTACTAGTGGGAGAATCATTTGGAAAGGAGTACCATGAAACTGATATTGAGAAACTTTTGTACGTTAGCTGAAATGATTGAAGTTTAGGTAAATCAAGTATGCTTTGGATTCGATAAAACACCCAACGGCATAGTTAATTCATAAGTAAAAATCACTGCCCATTTTTTAGAATATGCACTGAATCATACTGCAGACATTACTGTCCAACTACTTACCTTCAAACCCTCACTCATCGCCTTATAAGTACTACATTCCACATCTCTTTGCCTACTTGTTAGTTCTTAACATCTTATTTTGTTCGAAAACCCATACCATATTCTGTGCTATTACACAGTACTGTTTCGATGCACTACCAACTATCTAACAGCTTTAACTGTCTGATGTCCTTGCTCAAATAACTTGAAGAATTAGTGTTTTCTAACAGCGTGTGGAACATAGGAATTGGAAGTAAGACATCTTCAGTCCTACCAACAACTTAAGAAAGCCAACATCAAAATTGGGAAAGTGGAGTTACTGAACAGCAAACGTCGATGATGAGGGCAATGATTTCAATACACTTTTATTTGCAGGACATAACATTCTCATTATCTCCCAATCTTTATGATTGTTGATAATGCAACCATATAATGAATTACGGATGCTACCTAATTATTTGAATTGTGACTTGTCCGGACCCAAGCTTACCTGTGGTTTGAATGTACCAAAATAATTTACCCAGATTTTTGAGAATTAAGAGAAAGAAAACCTGCATCACAACAGCCTTGGAGTTTATCCAGATCTTTCTATAATATGTAGCTGATATTTAGACTAGGACGTGTATGGAATGAATATATCACAATAGGGTCGTCGGCAAAATGAAAAGATTTTATCAAATGTAAAGTAATGGCGCATGTCATTTATGTAAATAACAGACAATAAGGATCCAATGACTGAGCAACGGAAGACGCCACTAATGATGTTCTGAGGGTGGAAGTGTTGAGGTTCACCAATTTGTTGATATAAATTTCCTCAATATCCGACTCCAACAAAAGATATCTCATTTAACCGAGTATTTAATTCAGGCTTAATATCCTAGTAGAATTGTCGATTTACTCGAGATCATTCAAAAGCCCGAACATCAGTTATAGAGATAATTTATTGTTAAAGCTTGGTAAAATCCGCAAGCATACAACAATTAAGTACCGAGTGAGACAAAAATCAAACTGTGTGTGTCTGTGTTAAAACGTCCATATATATTTTTGAGTATTAATCCAGTGTAGATAAATTATTGATTATCTATGTGCCTCAACCAATGGGGAATAGAATAGGGGTTGAAGTGCAGACACACACTTAATCATACTCATATGGAAATTAACACAGTGGGGTAGACAAATAATACATTAGTGGAATGGGCTTTCTACAGAAGACATGTTGCCTTATTTCTACTACCTGAGATTCAGTTATTCATTTTTCCTGTTATACAGAATGTTTTCAGTTTAGACAGTAATGACGAATGTTGTTTTTTATCAAATGCTCCATCAAATTCAAATTACAGAGTGACAACACCTTACCCTCATCCCTATTGTTTTTGACATATTCAAAGTATTTAGGGACAGAATACCTATGATGTTTTGTAACTAAATCAATGTCGTAAAGATATAATCAATTAGTATTTATTTAGATAGTTATTAATTATGATCTCAATAATTTTCCCCTTAGTTGTAGACAAAATGAAAGTGCGGTTAATCGAGCGATGGTTGTTTAAGTCCAGTCTGGATCCCTTTTTAAAGTATGGGACAATGTATAGGGTTTTTAATTGCCAATGAAAGCACTTAAATCAAAAGACAGACCAAATACTTCAAGTAAACAGTACGTGGATGTAAAAACTACAATATGTAAATAGATTAGCCATTACTTCATCATTGCCACTTCTGAAAGTTTTAATGACGTTCTTAAAAGTCTCATGGTAATCGGCGTAAATTTCAAGCTTGCTATAATACATGTGTTGAAACTTCTGATTATACTTTCATCCTAATCACATCTACAGAATGTCTGTACAAATATGTTGTTAAGATGTCCACTCAGTTCTACTGGGTCTCTTATAAGTTCAATACTGGCCTTTCGGACAGTAGGAATATTAGATTGGACACATTTTCTTTCATAGAGTAGCTGATTTAAACTTCTCACTTTGCAAATTGGAAACTCTTCATTCAGCTTCTAATTTATTCGTTTGACAAAATTTTTTAATATTGAAAATTATTGATTGGATGTTTAAAATAGTTGAAAAATCATGTTGAACAACGAACCTTTCTCGCAACTTACTCGGTTTATATTTAAGTGTGACAGGAATCACCCCAGATCATATTCAAAAAGGAACTAGTTGAACAATAGTAATTATGCAAAGCATTTACCAGCAAGTGTAAATTAAAAGGGACTTCTACATCAGAAACCGTTTAACCATAGTATATATCACATCATTTGAACAATTACAGGCCGTTTAGACTCCGTAGTATACTAAATGACGTGGTGTTTTTTCAAAGTGGCAGTTAGTGGACAAAATCCCTATTGAAGATGTCAACATTAAAGCTCAAGTAACCCCATGTAGAAAGCTTCGAGAAGAATGAAACATCCCTCCTAGTTTCTACCGCTGATAACAAACTTCCAAGAAATATTCGACCACGTAACAAGAAAATCATTTGAAGCATTATCAAGAACTTGTGGATCCCCTGCGTAGGTGATTGACGGTCTTCTCAAGTTGAACGTGAATGGTGCAACCCTTAGGTTACGTGGAGTCACACCTCACAGTCGATGAGTAAGGCGGATCACCCTTCCATCGTTTCCTGACACTGTGGCTATTCGATGGCCGTACAGAACGAATATAATGACATTAAAGAAACGTACCAGTAAGAATTGGTACAAGAAAGAGAGTGTGACTATCGCCTCACGAGTCAGTCGTCTAGAGATGAGTATCAACGTCATTTTCCATCTCAACCTTGCATCTGGCAAACAATCAAAATGAAGCAGAAATTATGATTCACACCATCGTAATTCATACAAATTTCCAATTAATTCTGAAGTTAAAATCATCCC